GAGCACGCAATCCCCTGACGACCGGCGTGGGTTATACCCTAACCGCCATTTCAACCCACCAAAAATAAAGATATGTACAATGAAACAATTACGGGTGCATAACATCCGAACGATAACAAGCATTCGATTCGGTGATTGAGTGCTTGATGAATTGATAGACTTTGGATGGTCGTTAGCTCCACTTTGAATTGTACGCACATTTGATATTCGAATATTCGATTGTTTGGCGGTACTTCCTCTTGATAACACCGATGCGGAGAGAGCGTTCAGCACTTGTTCAAATATAACATATACCTATATATTTTAAGGTGAAGAAAAAAAAAAGAGCAGCGGAGGAAAGAGAGAGCCGTTGCCGTAGCCGTTTTCCTATGTGGTGTAAAGAGTACGTTACGCGCGCGACAAAATGGAAAACAACCGAACTGTTCGTAGCAAGCGCCAAATTGTATCTGAAAGTCAAAAATCCATCGTCGCTATCAAGGCGAAGGCGCGGCAGCGCACTGAAAATACATCGAAAGAGCTTTCAATATACTACCCTATCGGCAAGTGTGTATTGAAAACAAACTAACAAATACAGATCCCCAGGCCCCACACGAGTGTGCGTTCCCCCTATATGTATGTACATACATTGTGTATTGACACGAAGCCAATTGCCGAAGTATTCAGTACTAGCCATCGCAGCAGGCCAAATAAAATGAAACTGGTGGCAGCAACAGCTGATAAGACGGGCCCCACAGCCGGTAGTGGAGCTGCGGCATTGAGGCATTGCGGGGACTCCCTCCTCTTGTGGGTGGCAGCGCTAGAAGAGGCTCTTCTCGGTGCAATAAACTGCCAACTGGTTGTGACAAGCGACCGGCGACCGGCGACAGACAGACGATGGTGGCGGCAGCCTTGGCATTTAAAAAACCCGCCGTACACATTTGCATCTTGCCAGACGGATCTACCGAGAGACAGTGGTCAAATGTGATTGGTTTTAGCAATCGATTGAACGGATAGGTTGGTTCTCATTCTATGGGATTACTCTCAATCGGATGACGCTCTACCCATTTGTGTTAAATGGATACAAAGGCCTGTTACACACTAAATTTACTTGTACAATTGCCCACTGTACCTAACTGCACTCCCCATTAAATTGTTAGCCATGTTTACGATGCAATTAGGGCTTGTTCAGGCATTTATATAGATTCGATTTGCATATTCATGAGAACAGAATATTACCCTTTGTTCGCACGATTATAAACTGTACAATAATTATTGTTCTTTAGTGCGGAAATTGTTCCGCTAAATGTATGTTTGATACGATATGATAGACCTCCCTCCACAGATGAATTCTTTCGAAAAATCATCTATGTACATTATATTTGTATGTAAGCTCACGTGTGGGCGGCCGTTCATTCAGTCATACAGCTTCTGGGCCAATGTTCTTCTATAAATAGACAGGCCATTATAAAAATATTCCATTGACGGCCAGGGCAGTAAAGAAAGAATCTGCGTTATTCGGATGACAAATTCAGAAACAAACGAAAGCGAAAATAAAAGAAAAAGTCAAATGCAAATTATGAGTATAATATTTGAATATTTGTGAATCCATTCAACTTTTGTTTACAAAAAGGAAACGGGGGAGTGTGTTTTCTTACATAAACGGAGACACAAAGTCGGCGACTGAAGCGAACTTAATATAATCACTGTGTGATCGGAGCGACTTCATTAAAACGAATGTCTATAATCTGGAAATGTCAGCGTGTATAACTCATGGATACATATACATCGTACAAGCAATACATATGTTTGTATACGTAGTGTTCGTGTATTGGCCCACAAACGAAAGCAATTTGGGTTGAAGGCTTAATGGCCTGAACTGTTGCCCCAATGGAGTGAGAGTGTGGGGTATATGGGACAAAAGCTGACACTTAAGTCTTATCTGTCATCTGTTAGCTTTTCTGTATAGGGTGTAGGACAGGTCGAGTCTGCCTGATTGCCAGCCAAGGGTATAATGAATTGTGTGTTCCTTGATGTGTCTTTTGTGTCTACAAAATATGTACAGTGGATGCTCGCTTGCGGATCGGATTGCTTCTTGTTGATGCTGTTGCCAAATTATGACTGTGACTAAAAGTGCCCGCTGAGCAGGGTATTCACTGTAGAGAATATCGTAATCCGAGTGATTACGATATCATAAGCTTGGAGTAAACAAGTCGCAGCAATACGTCCTTATTTGCATTCTCTGCATAAAGGTTTCTATAGTTCTCTATAGTTCGATGCACAGAAAAGTCGAACGAGCATGAGTGCAGGTGCATATGAATGCGATAAGTCATTCCCTTCCCTCGGGGATCAAAGGTTCAGTCAACTGTGTGCACATGCATAATTACACATTTATATGGGCAATGGGGGGCGGCTGGCTATATATAGCTGCCTTATCTTATGGCACCATATCGCAAATCGTATGAAAAAACTTGCTACCTACATATGTACATACTTCGATCGGATTGCAGAAACATTTTGTTGGCCATTGATAAAATTGTCTCCCATCACTGTTGACTGTTGACGAACGGCTGTTGTTGTACATTTTGCCACGATTGTAATTTAACTTGTTTTTGCTGACATTTGATAACTGATGAGTACATATGTATGTAGCTGAATCGACCGAAACATGAGGTTTATATTCTATCACGCCAGGTCAAAGGTCACGCGAGTTGGGTTACAACTGTGGCGTCGGCGACTTCTAATCGGACAGTCGCATCTTTAATTATAGGCACACGTGTCGTGGTTTTATTGATAGAGGGAGGGACACACACACAAAGAGACACAGACACAGACACAGACTCATTAAAGGCGCAGCCCTGTTGTTGATATTTCGAACTGTATTTAACACTTGTCGTCAATTAGTTACGTAAATTGTACATATTATAATTTACAATTAAAAATTTCAAATGCAGTGCTCGCTTCCGCATTGCATTCTTACCGCTTTCACAGCTGGCGACACAGTGATGGGGCACCAATGATCGCAGTGTGGGGGCGGACAGAGAGCCAACTCACGTGATTCCCCTACGCCCCACCGAGAGCAAAAATCAATACACAGACCCGCGTGGTATTGCGTTGCATACGTCATATACTCACTCGTAGTAAGCATGCGGACAGGCCCCTCAATAGCTGCATTCTGATTGGCCCGACAACACCCCACAACAACAATACGTAATCAAAGTTGAATTAACCCATAGGCAGGGAATTCCCTCTTCACAGATATGCTCTAATGAGTATATGGGTATGACATAACCCAGTCAGTTATTAGCACCTCATTTAGGATTGACGAATTATGTATATATTTATTATTTGGAGCCCACAGCCAGGAAGCACACAAGACACGTGAGCGCCGGCAGACAGCAGTTTTACACTCACCTCCCCGCCACTCTCCTCTCGCACCCACGCCGTGGAAAGTTGAGCTGGTTGTGGCCGCTTGCACTAAATATCCGACATTTTTGTATGGTTTATTTGCAAGTTTGTTTAACGTGCAAGTTTGTTTGTTGCTTATTTTGTTGTTTTTTTGTTTATTGTTGTTACCTGGGAACTGTGAAATATACGATAAATAGATTTATCGATAAAAAAATACCGTCGACCCTCAGAAATACACCAAAATATACCGTCTCATTTAAAAAATATACTGACGAATTCAAGTTCTATTATACATATTCCTCATTTTTGATATTCCGTCGAATATTTCTAGCTAGATAGAACCCTCAGCTCTGCCCACATAATTTTATCCAATTGATGAATCAAGTTTTTATTTAACTGGCTGATTTTAAATACTTGCTTTTATTGAATCTTCTCTAAGACAAGGTTTTAGCGAAAAAGGTCAAACAAAAAAACGTAAGAAAACGTAAGAGAAAATCGTTCCTGTTGCTCAATTTTGATATTCCGTTAAATAATACTGACTAACTAAAACCCTCAGCGATGCACATATAATTTTAAACTATTGATGAATACATTTTTATTTTAGTTTTATTTTATTGTGTCTAAAGCAGTGTTAAAAGAAAAGTCAACAAAAAAACAGTGTCAACGTAAGTGGGTATGGAATGTAACGTATCTCTTACTTGTACATTGTCAACCGGAGTATGGACATTTTTATACCCTATTTCGTTAATTTAATATTTCCAAACTGTTCTAAAACGTTATTAATTAAGACTTTGTCTTAGATTGAATTGTCTTAGACATATTCATGCATTGATTAATTTCTTGTATATAGATATCGATCGCGATACCTATTCTTGGTTTCTGTAAAAAGAGAATAAGCTGCAAAATATCGTTCAAACAGAGACTGACTAGTTTCTGCATTAATTAGACCCTGGAATGACAAACATTTCCTCGAATCTATAATACCCATTTGCCAAGGGTATGCAGAATGTTGCTCGATCCGCCTCATGTTGAGGGACAACGCTGCTCGATTTTTGGGCACATGAAGCTGGCCCATACGTATGTTGCGTATGGAAGTTTCTATGCCCTATGTTCTTAAATATTCTTTTAAAAATGAAATTCACTAGCTGGTACTGTTTTATCAAAAATCAAGGCTCTTTTTTCGGTAGTTTGCGGAAGAAGTAATTAATACCAAATGCAAAAGGAGCTGCCAGATCGGTGAAAATAGATGGGTGTCCAGTTGAAGTCTATCGATTGAACCAGTCGTTAAACAGCTTTTCAAATTTGAATATTTCTGGTTTTAGCTGCTCATGTTGGGATTAAGTTAGCGAATTCTTCGCTTTAAGTTTTAAAATGAAATAGTTCCGCTGAATTTATCATGGTGGTTTGTTATACTTTCCGCAGTAGCACCTGTCTAACAACTGCTTTATCGCTCAATAAAAGCCGTGAAATTCATAAAGCTTTTTATGCCCAGCATAGATAAGAATTGAGTACACTCAATTCCCCTGTGTATAACGTAAATATGCCACAAACTTCAGTTTATTATTAAACATGAACGAAATATTTTATTTTGTTGTTGTATTTCGGCTTTAACCTGTGGCTATGCTATCTTTCGGTTTTCCGATAAGTTCGGACTATCAGCAAGCAGATTAAGTGTTAGTTTTATCAGCATATTGATAGTCTAGTCCAAGTACGCGAGTTGTCATGGGCAGTAAAGCGGTTATAGTTCAGTTGGGAGCTTCGATCCCAGCCCCGATGGACAACAGAAGTGCGTACGGCGGATTGGAAGGCGATCCTTGGCTGCAGCAGGTGGTGGTCTTCGACTGGCAGCCCACGGAAATTCTTGCCCAGAATGCCGAGTCCATGCAGCTCATTGTCGCCACATGTTGGTGTGTGCTTATGGCCCGCGTTGTCACCCAGAAACTCTGCCCCCGCTCCAGCCCCAACTTTTGCTACGGCATGGAATTTCTGCTTATCATCCCGCCCGTAGTTCTGCTCGTTACGGTGGCGAGCGACTACTGCACACACATTCTGCTGCTGATGCTCATCTGCTCCCTATGGTTCCTTGTCCGCACCCAAGCATTGCAGAGGGCCTGCGCCCGAGGCCAGTTCGACCTGGGCGGCACCCGGCCCACGGTGTTCACTCTGGTGCGTGCCCTGACACACCTGATTACGGCCGTTTGCATTCTGGCCATCGACTTCAGCAGCTTCTACCGGCCCTACCGCAAGAGCCGGACGTTCGGGGCCAAGCTGATGGACACGGGCATCGGTCTGTTTGTGGTCACCATGGGTCTGGTGTCGCATCGGACGCGCCATATCAAAGATCTTCGCCGGAGTGTGGTGTATGCGGCTCTGCCACTGCTGCTGCTGGGATTGGCTCGGACCGTGGCCCTTCTGATCGTGGGCTACGGCCAGGATGAGCACGAGTACGGTCGCGACATGAACGCCTTCTTCACGCTGGGGCTGACGAAGCTGTGCGGATCTCTGACCAGCTTGGTGGCTCGCCGGGATGTGCACCTCCTGCCATTAGGGATGGGTAAGTACAGTCCCCGCCTTAACGCTGGAAAATGATCGCAATCGTAGTCCTGGTTTAGGTCTCCTTGTGGCCCACCAGATGGCCTTGAGCGTTTTTGGTCTCTCCGACTTTGTGATGGACGAGGATGTGCCGCGCTCGACAGTGTTCAGTGCCAACCGTGAGGGGCTGGTCTCGCTGCCGGGCTTCGTGGCCATGTACCTGCTGTCCATATACCTCAGCCGCTGGCTTATGGCTGCCACTCTGCTCGGCTACTCGGACATGGTCAAGAAGCTGCGGCGACTGCTCCTCCTGGTGCTGATCCTGTGGTCCCTCTTCGGGGCGAGTGCCTTCGCCATTGGCATCTCCCGGGTGACATGCAACTTTGGTTACGTCGTCTGGACGTTGGCCATCATATGCACTATTATGTGGGTCGGCCTGTTTGGCTTGGACTTTGTCATAAACAGTGTCCTGCCCTGGGATCCGAGTGCACTGGCAGTCGATAGCCAGGAAAAGGGTCAGCTGCTGGAGGTGCAAGCGGGAGAAGGCAGTGCCCCTAAGGCCGCAAGTGACAGGATCGGTAGCTTTGCCATCTGCCAGTCGCTGAACCTGAACGGTCTGACATTCTTTCTGCTGGCTAATCTTTTGACAGGTGGGGTCAACATATTCCTCAAGCCAGAGGATCGCAGCCAATCCGAATCTGTACTCATCCTGCTCGTCTACATGTTTCTGGCCACCAAGGCGGTCCATGAATTGCTCAAGAGAGGTGTCCGCCTTGCCTGAAAATTAGTTTCGTCCTCAAATATCGTTTCCTGTGATTATTTCATTGAATTTTGCGTGTAACTATTGTCGTAGTAAGCTCATGTCTAGAATTTTACTTAGTTTGTGTATGTTTTATCAGTAAATACCATTATTTTAGTCAATAAATAATGAATTCTAAGAACATCAAAATGACCGACCATAAAAAGTACCTACAATTTAACATCGATACAGGAGGCGATATGGACGGAGCTGTTGGCCAGATAAGAAATTTTTGTTTCTTCTGAAGGGTGAAAATTGCAATCTTGACTTCTTTGCGATCGATGAGGTGTCATGACAGACATCCATATAAATGTATTAGGTATAAGCTGTTGCCTTTCAGATACACAGGTAGATTGTTGACATTTCAAACCTACAGTTATCGATAGCCAATTTCGTAACCATTTTGATTAATCATTTCAGTGCTGTAAGGTATCGGTTTTTTTACGATTCACAACACTTTGGCGCCAAGATTTTAGCCAAGATTTCTGATTGGAAGAAATGTGGCTCAAACAACAGGTTTTACTACCATTTGCGGGCGGGGGATGGAGCAGGTGAGCAGCAGTGTAATGGCTCAAACACCACTCTTTGCCGTGACCATGGCAACCATTTGATTGTCAACACAAGGGGCCACAGCCAGCGCGAAAAAGGAAGTGAAAATTTTGTCCATTAATGTTCCAAAATGTTTGTTTACCTGAGTAAGAAGGTAAGTCAACTAATTGTGTATAATAATACCAACACAAATACCAATTAATTAATCCCATTTGCGTATAGATTGCCATTCCCAACAATGTCAAACTCAATTGCATTGCCTGGAACAAGGAGGAGGGTTACATTGCAGTGGCCGGCTCCGAGGGTTTGCTCAAAGTCCTGAAACTGGATCAAGGTATATACTATATATATAGAGACGATTAGGGTGATATTTGACTAATATTACTATCTCCCCCAAAGGGGCTAATGGCCAAAACAAAGGAGGTCTGGCCGCCGTCTCCAATTTGTCGATGAATCAGACCCTGGACGGCCACAAGGAGTCGGTCCGAGTGGTCACCTGGAACGATGCACAGCAGAAGCTGACCTCGTCGGACACAGACGGCGTCATAATGGTCTGGATGCTGTACAAAGGCTCCTGGTACGAGGAGATGACCAATGACCGAAAGAAATCAACGGTGGCCAGCATGAGCTGGACCTCGGATGGGGCCAAAATCTGCATTGTGTACGAGGACGGGGCCATTATCGTGGGCTCCGTGGATGGCAATCGCATTTTTGGGAAGGAACTCAAAGGCACCCACCTCACCGGCGTTCAGTGGAGTCCTGATAACCGCCTGATTCTCTTTGCCCTAGCCAGTGGCGAATGCCATCTGTACGACAACCAGGGAAACTTTGCTGTGAGCATCACAATGATTACCACCCCGTAATCCCCTTCCTAATCCTCTGTCTGATATCCGCAGATGAAGCTCAACATTCAGTGCTTGAAGCTCAATGGGTCTTCATCCGCTCGGGGTCAGCGCATAGCCAGCATATGCTGGTTCAGCGGCCGCTCCTCTAACCGCCGCAATCGGCCCGTTCTGGCCATCTGCTATGAGATCGGAAAGGTGCAGATAATGCGCAACGAAAACGATGATGGTAAGTGCGAGGACTAAGCCAAGTATTCCTCAGACTTTAATTTGGTTCTCCTCTCGCTCAGAGCCCGCCATCTTTGACACAAAAATGCGAAACGTGGATGCAAAGTGGAACCACGACGGCACTGTTCTGGCCATTTGTGGCACCACACTGGAGCAGACAGTTCCGGCAGCCCAGCGAGACAATAACCAGGTGTGCTTCTACTCGCCGCTGGGCCGGATCTATCGCACTTTGAAGGTCCCGGGCAGTGACATCACCTCCCTCAGCTGGGAGGGCAAATCCCTGCGCATCGCCATGGCTGTTGACTCTTTCATCTACTTTGCTAACATCCGGCCAGACTACATCTGGTGCTACTTCGAGAAGACAGTCGTCTTTCTCAACAGCCACAGCAGCAGCGGCAATGGCGTTAGAGAAACGCCCATGAGCGTAATAACCTTCTGGAACACGGTCTCCAACCAGAGCTTCCTGAAGGAGGTCGAGCCAACACTGTGCCTGGCGGCCAGCAGCGAGCACTGCGTCCTGGGCGTGGAGTGTGTGAGCAGCAACATCAAAGAGATTGCTTTGAGCATGCTGGAGAATCGCAGCAATCCAGCCGACGACAGGGTCTACCAGTTGCTGCTCTGCAACTCCATTGGAACCACTGTGGATTGTGAGTTCTGATCTGTGTTTATTTTCATGTCTCCTTAACCTCCTTGTTACGCCAGCCAAGTACACGGACATTAGACCCTCCTTTGTGGGCATCAACTCGAGCTACGTGGCCATTGCGTCGCAGGAGGAGATCCTTATCTGGCACTACCACACGCCCAAGAGCGCCTCCAACTTGCAAAGTGTAAAGGCGCGCAAAGAGAAGCGCTTTCATATTGACGACACGCCAACGGGCGTGGAAATGGCCAAGGATCTGATGCTGGGCAGCAGCAGCAGCGGAGAGGCCCACTCGCATCGCCGGATCAGCGATCCCATCTGTGCTCTAGCCTTGTCCGAGAAGCTGCTGCTGGTGGCCCGGGAATCGGGAGCCATCAACGAGTACAGCATTGCCAATGTGGCGCTGAGGAATCGCCACATGCTGAGTTCCAAGGTCTACAAGATGGCCATCAACTGCAATTCCACGTGAGTACATGTGAGCCTCCACTGAGATAGCTTTATTTCCAATGATTCCTTTTAGTCGGGCAGCCATCATAGACCACATGGGAATCATGACGTTGCTGGACTTGGACGACAACCGGGAGACGCAGCTGAACTTCAGTCGGGTGGAGCGCAAGGATGTTTGGGCCGTGAGCTGGGCCAAGGACAATCCCCTGCTCTTGGCCCTGATGGAGAAGACCCGCATGTACATTTTTCGGGGCAACGATCCCGAGGAGCCCATCTCCTGCTCCGGCTACATTTGCACCTTCGAGGACCTGGAGATCACCAGCGTTCTGTTGGACGACATTATAAGCATTGGGGAGCTGCAGAACTCCTCCCACATCATTCAGCTGCGTGTCAAGTCGCTGCGCGACACCGATGACCTCCTGGAGCACGTCGGCCTCGAGGATGCCAAGCAGTTCATCGAGGACAACCCTCACCCACGCTTGTGGCGATTGCTGGCCGAGTCGGCACTGAAGAAACTGGAGCTCGACACGGCTGAGAATGCATTTGTGCGATGCGCCAACTATCCGGGCATCAAGCTGATCAAGCGGCTGCGCACCATCCACACCCAGGAGCTGCAGAAGGCCGAAGTAGCCGCCTTCTATGGCGAATTTGAGGAGGCCGAAAAGCTGTACTTGGATGCCGATCGCAGGGATCTGGCGATTGAGCTGCGCATGACCCTCTGCGATTGGTTCCGCGTGGTGCAGCTCTACCGCATGGGCGGCTCGGGGGTCTCCGACCAGCAAATGGAGACGGCCTGGCGGGAGATCGGACATCACTTTGCGAACCTCAGATCGTGGGAGAGTGCCAAGGAGTACTACGACAAGTCGCACTACATCGAGGGCTTCATGGACGCCCTGTACCATCTGGAGCAGTTCGATGAGCTGGAGAAGTGCGTGGAGAAGCTGCCGGAGAAGAGTCCGCTTCTGCCCAAGCTGGCAGATATGCTGGCCTCTGTGGGCATGTGCGCCGAGGCGGTGCAGGCGCATCTTAGGTTCGGCGATCAGAAGGCTGCCGTCAACACGTGCGTGAATCTCCGACAGTGGGGCGAGGCCGTGGAGCTGGCCCAAAAATATCAAATGCCGCAGGTGAACACATTGATTGCCAAGCATGCGGCCCAGTTGCTGAACGAGGGCCGTCTCACGGAGGCGATTGAGATGCAGCGCAATGCCGGACGGTACCTGGATGCGGCTCGCCTTCTGGCACAGCTGGCAGAGCGGGAGCTGGAGAAGCGGGCCCCGATGCTGCGCATCAAGAAGATCTACATTCTGGCCGCGCTACTCGCCGAGCAGCACCTCAAGGCGGTGGCCACGCCCGAAATCGATTATGCCAGTGGGCGGAACACGCTCTTGGACTCGATCAGCCTGGAGGATGCCGCCTGCATTGAGCGCATGTGGCACTGTGCCGAGGCATATCATTTCATGCTGCTGGCCCAGCGACAACTGCGCTTCGGGATCATCCACAGTGCCCTCACCACGGCCATCCGCCTGCGGGAATACGAGGATGTGCTGCCCCTGGAGGACATCTACTGCCTGGTAGCCCTCGCCAGCTGTGCTGACAGGGCGTTCGGCACCTGCTCCAAGGCATTCATGAAGCTGGAGACTCTCAGCCATCTCCCCGAGAAGACCCTCCACGAGTACGAGCAACTGGCGCGGAGCATCTTCTCCAAGTACGAGCCAGAGGACGCAGACTTGGACATGGTACCCTGCTATTCCTGCGGCGTTCCCGTGCCCGACAGGTACGTAATGCAGATCGATGAAAGCTAGTTCTCATTTCTCATTGTTTCCTCTTCCATAGCTCGCCCGCCTGCATGGAGTGCGGTGCCCGGTTTCCGGCCTGCATCTCCTCAGGGAAGCCCATTCTACAGCCGACCAACAACATTTGGATCTGCACCACTTGCCACCACTGTGCCTCGCCCCTGGAAATCTCGCGACATCGGGCCTGCCCCTTTTGCCACAGTTTGATTGCCTCCATGTAATCACTGCGGATGGACGGAACTTCGTCGGGAAGACTGAAGAGAGTCGCCCAGACCATCAACATCATCATCGACCAGTAGATGAGTGCCATGAGCAGGTTTTCTCAATATCGTCCGGCATCAAGCAGATTGTGCTGGGACTGCACATCATCCGCGGCGACAACATCGCTGTAATTGGATTGATTAACGAGAGCCCTGGGCGAGCCCGTTGTGCACTGATGAGTATCAAATAAAAAAAGACACTTTATCCTTACTAAAGTGCATTTAATTTACTTCTATATGACTTCACATTTCATTCATTCACCACGGCGACACTCTCTTAGTCTTGCCAAAGCTGGGCACGCACACTAGGCAGGTGCGTTTTCTTTCGGAGGTAACATGAAGTGCCGTTTCCAAGGACTCGCAGTTTCCTGCGAAGCACACGTGGGGACACTCCCGCATGATGAATGGGTCGCGCTCGATGTAGGGATAGCAGGCCAGAGTGTCCGGGGATGTGGGGGCCACATGCCCCCATGTTAGGGTGCAGCGTAGGGCCTCCAGAGAAGATTCCATCGAAGTAATGCGGAGGAGATCTGCCACATTCTGACCTGCAGTGCCCACAATGAGAGCATCATCCAGGCGACAATTGTACGTCACGGCCTGGAACGAGGTGAGCTGTGCCGCTTGGGGAAACATACATTTGTGGAACGGCTGTTGCGGCAGCATAAAGTTGACCGGATCGTAGGCGCCCGGCATCACATCGATGGGCAAGCATTGCGCCCACGAGGCGAACCAACTGTCCAGCTGGGTGACCGCCCGGACATTGTCGTTGGCGTTCGCTTATGTGCGTGTTACCTGCAGGGTCAGAACATGCGCCACTGCACTGCCGCGCACCGAGTTTCCGGCTATGATCAATCGGACCAAGGATTTGGAATCTCTCCCATTGCCCAGACTGCCGTTAGGCCAGTACTGAAACAGGTTCAGGGCCTCTAGGATATCACATCCTCGACGTTGAAGAAGCCTTCACTGTCGGTTCCGCCCAGGACGGCGCACACGATGCCAGTGGCCATGAGCTGCGTCCGCAGCATCTTACCCTGTAAACGCCGCTGCAGTTCATCCTCCAGGATCACCTTGTCTTCGGGCTCCGAGTAATTCTGTCGCGGAATTATTGTGGAGTAAAAATAGATGTTTAATACAAGTGAATACTTGCAAATGGAATAGAGCGAGAGGGCGAGATCGAGAAGGAAGGCAAACAGATGGAAAAGAAAGAGAGGGCGAGATCGAAAACGAAGGGTTCAAGGCTCAAAATGTTCGCCATCCAGGCTCTAATGAATGCACCGACCAATATATTTGTCGCTCTCAAATCGTACTTACGTGTATCCTTTATTCCCCTAGATTGAATTTAAATCCATTTCTCTCATGCACATTCAAACAATTCGTATTTGGCGCCCATTTTCGGTAAAACCCTTTTTTTTGTTTGACTATTTCGCTATAACCTGCTTTTACGCAAAGTCCAATGAAAGCAAGTATTAAGAATAAGCCAGTTAAGGAGAAAAATGATTCATCAATCGTAGAAAACTATGTGGGCAAGGCTATATGTTCTATATAGCTTATAATATTCAATGGAATATCAAAATTGAGCAATATGGTTTCCAATCCTTGACGGATTTCAATTTTCCCCCGAAAATAATGAAAATGTTATAATGTTTGCGCAGTTCAGGTGAAAGATATAGTGTTTTTCTTAAGTTCAGAGGAAAGATGACATGAATCTACAAGAAGAATTTACAATCGTTAATATTTTCCGCCATTTACCTCAAGTAGTTGAACTATTTAAATAGAGGGGGCTTAAGTGGGCTAAGTACGGTTTTTCATCATACGAGACGCTATATTGTTGTTAAGGAACCAAAATTGAGGCAAACAAAATAGAAGTCAAGTATTTAAAATAAGCCAGTCAAGTAGAAAATAGATTCATTAATTGGATAAAATTAAGTGGGGAGGGCTGAGAGATCTAGATAGCTAGTAATGTTTCACGGAATATACAAGTCGAGGAATACAGAACTTGAATTCGTCAGTATATTTACGGTATATTTTTAACATGAGACGGTATATTTTGGTATACATATACATATACGTATACACTGCATACTTACACGCGCGTTATCACACGCTTACGCTGCTGCTTCTTTACCTGTTAATTTTAGCCAAAAAACAGCTTTTTTGGGCCTATTTCGTGTATTAGTATTGCTGCCAATAAAAGACGACAACATGATTAGCTTTCTGTTCATTGTAAACCGCGCACTCAGCAGCAGCAGCCGCAAAATGTCGCAAGGCCCACGTCCGCTTGTACTCTGCGGCCCCTCCGGTTCCGGAAAGAGCACGCTGCTCAAGCTATTGTTTGCAGAGTTCCCAAACACATTTGGATTCAGCGTCTCCCACACCACGAGAAAACCGCGTGAGGGCGAGGAAGATGGTGTTCACTATTATTTTGTGGAGAGAGCCGACATGGAGGAGGCGATCGCCAATGACGAGTTCATTGAGACGGCCGAGTTCACCGGGAATCTATACGGCACCAGCAAGGCGGCCGTACGCGAGATTCAGAAGAAGGGACGCGTCTGCATACTGGACATTGAGCAGAAGGGAGTGGAGCAGATTCGGAAAACCGATCTCAATCCCATACTGATCTTCAACAATCCGCCAACCATCCAAGAGCTGGAGCGTCGACTGCGACTACGTGGCTCCGAGACCGAGGAGACGTTGCGCAAGCGACTCAATGCCGCCGAGGTGGAGATCAGCTACGGCCTGACGCCGGGAAACTTCCACAAGATCATCAACAACGTGGACATAGAGGCGGCCTACACAGAGTTTCGCGATTTCGTTGTCCATGAGTTGAAGCAGCAGGAGTACGATGGCATCAGCATTAGCCTCAATTAATTCAATAATTGATTTGACTTATCCCTCGGGTGCAAATGATATTACGGACATTTACTCATGGCATTTCTACTTAAGCGTCCAATCTTATTTATTATCCTCAGTGACCCCACACTGCTTTGTTGTGCAATTAGTTGTTGTAATTTTAAGCTGAAAGTTGTTGCGGTACTTCACGCTCCGGCACTCGGAGCCAATTAAAACGGAATCAATAAAGCAAACAGCCAGCTTTTGGTTTTGTATTCACGAACGTTCTATTTACAAGTCTATCGTCGAAGGTCAAAAAGTTATCAGGAATCTTCCACGAACAGTACGGTTAGTAGATTTATTGTCCATCGAACGGAGGGAGAGCACGCCAACTGGTAATTCCGCAGGAACCTTGACCTGTGTCTGGAGACAGGATAAGTGGTGACGCCTAAGTGAAGACGACACGCACACCCAAACGCCAATCCTGTTCCGAACCTTGGCACAGACACAGACATGTACATGGATTACGAGGGATACGCATTGGTTTTATAGTCATGATGCAGATGGACGCGTGCCGTGTAGCTCGTTTTACCCGTACCAGATTGCATTGAATTGTGACGATGCACCACTCGTGCTGATCCGTCGATCTTGGTGCGGCTGTCAGCACTGCTCCAGAGTCCGGCTATGGCCTCCAAGGCCAGCTCCGTCTCGCGGTCCTTGTCATCATGATCCGCCGACAGCGTCAAGTCGATCTGACGCCGTTGGCGCGTAGTGGGAGCCGCCGCCACGAGCCCAGTGAACACGATGAGCAGCAGCAGAAGGTAGTGAAGTGCGCGCATGCTGAAAACAAACTGAGAGTCGAGCTTCAATCAAATCTCAAAGATGTTAGGTTGAAATGTGTGGGGCTGGCTGGCTTATCAGTCAAATCCACAATCAACAGATTTATTGCGGTTTACAATTCATTTTTCTGTCAACAAGGCTTGGAACGATGTCATTGCTAGCGGCACTGGCACTCCAAAATAGATTAATTAGTACTATATAATGGGATAAAAGAAGCCTAAACTTTGGGCTCCAGGATCTGGGCTGGTGGCCAGTCCCACTGCTTGGCGGGCGCAGCCTGGGACAGCTTCTCCCAGGGCTTCCAGCCAAGCATCTTGCGTGCCAGCACCAGTTCGTTCTCTGCCTGCACAATCAACTCCTCCACCTGACCGCATCCGACAGCCTTCTCGAGAGCGACAATGTCCTTGTTCTGTAATGACCATCGATCAGTGAAATTATGGCAGGACATCGTTAATCATTAATAAAACGTACGTTGGCCACGGCATCGGCACGCTGCTTGACCAGCTGTTCCGTGTACTTGCGGTAGCTGGCTTCCTGTGGCATCTTGGCCACTGCACGCAGGATCTTGCCATAGAGCGCGCACAGCGTGTGGTGGGGATTGGTGGACACGGCGAGGCCGGTCAGACCTGTGGACTGTAGGAAGCGATGACATAACTGGGACACGATACCAGGATTCAATAGAGCGGCTGCCTTCACAGCCGCTCTCGTAACTCTGAATGGTTCGAGCTGACGGCGGCTCAAACTACTTACCGCTTTAATAATTTTAGCCATGTTTATGAGCTAGAAAGCGACAAATTTGTTAAATTTCTGCACAATTTCTGGTACAAAAACACAACAGCTGACGGGGCTGCCAACCTGACTTGTATCAGTGCTGTAAAATGGCGCAAAACGGCACTTTCAGTGCCGAAAAGATACCAATAGTTATCGCTTTGCTTGGCGATAGTTTTCCCAAATAACGCGCCTTTTAAGAAATTCAAAACCTGTTTTGAGGGCTGGGATTCGATTTATTTATCACAATTTTGTTAATAGTACATATGTATATAAGAATGAGGCGATTGGCGTTAGCCAAGTAATTCTTTCAATCATATAAACACGGTTGAAAATTACTAAATTATCAAAAAAAAATATTGGTAGTTGTAGCGGCGAGTTTGGATGTGTGGGGTGCTTATCCTACTACATACTAATACTCTTATTGATATTATACATCCAGTTGCAAACTATGCTGGGCCTGGGGCACGCTCTACGATGCCAAAGGCTGATATTAAGACATTGACAACCGTTACAATGAATATGCCGATGACTGTGTAATTATTGATCTTGTTCGCCCGGCAGATCTCTTGCTCATTCTTGATGTTGTACCTGCCGTTCCAAATAAGGCCGACGCCGACTGCGATCTGCAATGAGACAGTGCCAAAAAAGAATTTTAAAATACGCGATTAATATGCAAATCATCTGCAATACCTGGAATATAATGCTCAGGGAGATGAACAACAGACTGGGATAAAAGTATGGGTGCTGTTGGTTCATTTCCAGCACATAACGCAGCTGATTCGCATTCGCCGAGAGCAGTGCCAGATCCATCATGCCCTGGGCCAAGGTCTTCTTGTGCTGGTAGGCATTCACATCAGGTATGGGCGTCTCCACGCCATTGATGTTCACGAATTCGGGTCCACTGTAACCAGGAAACATGTAGCTCGGACGTCGTCCCCCCTTGTTGCCGCCATTGGGGACGAGGACAGTGACCCCGCCACCACCACCGCCGCCGCCGCCGCCTCCTCCATTTCCCAGGAGGCCATCGTCCACGCCTGGATTGCCATTGCCATCTTGAACGAAGGGACGATCGTCGTCATCGTCATCCGTTTCGGGTACTGCCAAAAGGTAAGAGGAAACCTATAATGTTTAGTTGCTTTACTCTGGACGATGATTCTACTTACACCACATAAACGATTTAAAGTTATAATAAATTGCGGTTTAAAGGCGGCATTAGCAACAAGACAAGATTAACACGTAGCATAAATAAGCAGAGAATAATGTACACAGTACATGTTGTACGTATTTACATTTAAAGATCAAGAAACTAGTGAGGTAGGTGGAAATACAAACCTGCTCGGGGTATGCGATTGCCTCCTCGTCCGTCGATTGCATCGTTCTGGCTGCGATTGTTTATGCTTTCCTACAAATAAAAAACAGAATAGATGAAAGCGTTTCCTGAATTCGATTTATGATGTTGAAATTTCTCATTCTATAAGCTCACTGTTTACAATCGCAAAGCAGTTTATTATGCAAAAAAGCTTCTGTTCCCAGACTGTTTTCTGATAAATATGCAAATCAGTCAAGTTCGTGATATGATATATTATATGTACCCGCTATACATATGTACAACGAATTGTGGAGATAAGTCCGAAGGACAAGCTGCACGTGTTTGTTTTGTCTTTAATGTGTAAAGAAAGAGATAAATTTTGGAGAACAAACAAATGAATAAACGTAAATTCCCATTTGATATGCTACTCCCGATGGTTCCATTAGCATTCTGCCCTTAAACAACTAAGGTTTCTCCGTAAAGTAAAGAAAACTTTACTTTGATTTCCCCAAATCCGAATCAGTTTATTTTATGAGCGATGCGATGCAGGGGATCTATTGCAATGACTAAGCCTGGGGGTTTTTTTCCGCTTCGCCAGTCACTTTCCCAAAAAGTTTAGAGCTCTGGCTCCCAGGGAAGCTGCCGGTCCGCTCCTCTGTTTACATGCCAATTATCAGCCCCCACTATGCTACGTACTATATACGAGTATATGCCCCTATAGATGCTATATTAGATTTTCAAAATGTCTGGGCTTGCGTTTTTTGCGGTCTAGCGGTTTGTTTGGCTTTCCAGCGAGATTAATGGCTGTCGTAACTCACTTGATTTCTGGCCAGCGTTTTATCGCCGGACTGCGGCACTTTGTCCATTTGCAGTGCAATATGCTCTAGGTCACTCATCCTTTTCTTGGGTTTTAATTAAACGATTTTAATTAACAGCAACAACAGCAACAATACCAACAAAGTGCACACACTCGGGAATTCCAATGCGATCGCTGAGCAGATCGGGAACAGCCTCTGAGTCAAGTTCTTTGTCTGTTTTTATCCGTTATAAGTATGCTGCGGCGCGATGTCTTTTGGGGAATTGTATTCTTTTGCTTTGCAGTTGTTCAAAAATTCGTGCGCGTTTCGACCGCTCCGCACGCTATTTGTGGCAGAACTGACCGACCGTCCGGAGATACTACGAGTATATTGAAATAAAAATTGCGCGGCCGCTCTCGGTCTGGTATGGGTATGGGTATGGGTATGGCGGTCCACTTGTTTGGCCGGCCAGCTCTCATCGTCAGTATTTTCCCAAAGCCAACAACAGCTCTGGGGATTTCACGTTCTCAATCGACTCGACTCGACTCGGACTCTAAAGTTACGACAAGTTTTTACTGATGTAATCAGAGAATGTGGCGCTCAGCATAGTATGGTGCTTTCATGTGTCTTAATGGAGTTAAAAGCCACTTCTCAGATGTGCACAAAGTTGTTTGAAGCGTGTTCTCTCTCTCACTCTCTCCCTCTCTCTCTCTCTCTCTCTCCTTTCTCTTTGGGCTTTTTTTTTGCCTAGCTCTCGCTCTCTTTTGATTAAATATTTCCGTACTTTGGCACGCCATTTCCTCGTTCGCATTAAAAATGCATTCAAAAATATGTACGAATACTACGTCAGTGGATTCAGCTCGATAACCTAGAACTAATATAGATTAATTTTCCTACTGTGTGACATGAACGTGTGGGTTCTTGGAAAACGCCCAATTAAGCTTGAAGGAAAATGTCGCAGGGAATATTTCAGTGAACAATTAGTCACCAGGCTAGGGGGGAGGGAGGGCGAGGGGACAAGTAGAAAGTTTATTGCCAAGGTGGAGGACGAGCCTCAGTCAGCTCGCATGCTGTTCTTGAAATATGAGCAGAAACCGGTTGCGATCAAGAGTGGTAGAAGAATACATACACACACACAGCTCTTTTATTCTTATACTTGGAGCATATTTATAGCATGCGAAGCTGTAGATCAATAACCTACTGCGAGTTCGAGCTCTTAAATACATTTTTGTTTTATATGTATGTTGATTGATGTTCAGGTAAATGCTAAAATTGGCCATTGCTGCCAATTACAATTCGTATTTTTAACAGCTTCTTCGATACATATGGTATATCGATATATAGTAGACATCGATAATTGAATTACCGTATTTTGCAGCACTGAAAAAAGTCGTACAAAATTTTAAATGTTGTGCTGCCATATCATGCCAAAATAAACTGCCTGATCTGAATCGACATAAAATTAATTATATAAGTTTCGGTAAATTTCTAAGGATCAGACTTTATATTTTATAGTTAAATCTGCGGTGACACTGCCAGCTAATACACTTTTTCTAGCTCACACACCTTGTTTGAATAGTATTTTCCGATATGTATTCAGGGCTCACCCTCTTGCCCAATGTACAAATGTAGAAAACATGTAGAGGTACTTATTCGGGATCAGCATCGAATACCTTATCGCTTGCGATAAAAATCTCAAGTTTTTTCACATTGGGGCTTCCATGGGCCTTAAATTAAAAAATAAGGTCAATTAATTTTGAAACGCGCACACTTCCCCTTCAGGTGTCACCTTTGTTATTACATGGAAATGTAGTTATTATGTAGCGAATGTGTAGCTGCCATGTAATTAAGTGGACATATTTGTTGACTTTTTTAGTTAAAACCTTATTTTATAAGCAATCCAATTAGATGTTAAAACCAGCCAGTCTTGTAGAAAATTGATTTAGTTATCGGATAAAAGTATGAGCTCAGAGCTGAGGGTTCTATCTAGCTAGTAATGTTCCACGGAATATCAAAAACGAGGAATATGAATAATTCGTAGGTATATTTTGAATATGAGACCGTATATTTCGGTATTTATTTGACGGGTATGAATCGGTAATAACCGGTTCACAAAAATGATTCCGGCAACCGTAATTTTCATACCCTAGGGAAAAGGATATTATAAAATTGAGAAAATGTTTGTCATCCCAGGCTCTGTGGGCATCAGGATCGAGATAAATATATACAAGATACTACTAATGTGCATGAATATGTCTAAATTTGAGAAAAGGTCTACATAAATTACGTTTTATCTTCTTAAAAAATTAACGAAATAGGGTATACAAAGGCCTATACACGCATCATGTCTTCAAATACCAGCAACATTGCGACTGTATATTTGTTGAACTATTTTATTTAATCCCTGTTTTAGTTAAAATACAATAAAAGCAAGGACTTAAAACTTACCAATCAATTATAAAATTGATTCATCAATCGTATAAAATTGTCTGGGCATGACTAAATATTCTATACAGCTGGTAATATTCCACAGAATATCAAAAACGAAGAATTTATATCATAATACTTGAGTTCGTCAGTATATTTACGGTATATTTGCAAAATGAGACGATATATTAGGTTATATTTCTGAGGGTCGGACGGTATATTTGATCGATAAGTCCGCGGTCACACTGTTGTTGAGGCACCAAAAGCGCCCGAACGCCGAGTTTTTTAAACAAAAAGCAATTTTTTTTTCACAAAATCTGTTGCAAGCGCTGAATAAAAAAACAGAGAGAGTGCAAACCCAATCGGGTAGTTATTTTTTTAAAAGGAGCGGAACACGTCCGAAAAAGAAGTACGAACGCGCTGCGTAAACCGTAAACCAAAAGAAAAACCAGTTATGTATTCGCAGCAGCCCCAAGTTCGCCCAGTGTTTCCTTTTTGTGGAGCCAAAGAGTTGAAAAATGTATAAAAAATGTCAATGAAAGTGTCGCGAAATGCGCCCCAAGTGGAGTTTTAGCGCTAATTGTTGATTTGGTGGCAGCCACAAGAGCAGCCATCGCCAGCTTGGCCGGACCAGGCCCCGCTTTTGGTACAAGTTTAAGCCGATTTCCTGCGAAACTCTTGCCAACTAAAATGTGAGTACAAGACAAGTATACACACGGCCAAAGATAATGCACATACATATGTGTGTTTTGGCATCTTCTTCGCAGCTATCCCGTCCCGCTGTCTCCTTTTGCAACCGCCTCTGCATCTGTGTGTATGCATGGGTGTGTGTGTGTGTGCGTGTTTCGCACGAAAGGCAGGTAAAAAAGAAATAGTAAATAAGACTCAAGGGCAGCTAGAAATTATAGCGCAACGAAAATAAGAAGACACAGACACCCCGACCCACATCGGCAATCAGTGAGGCGTCCGTCCCGGCCCGTCCCGCCGTCTGCCCAGTGGGTGGTGACATTTCCCCCTGCTATTTTTGGCCTGCGCTAATTTTATTCGTCCGATTGCCCATTTTATAGCGCATTTTTTTATGTAATTGCCGAAAATCAGCGTTGACCAAAGGATTTTCATGAGTGAAAAATCGATAAATCAGCGCCGCTGCAGCTGGAATTCCCTTCGTGCATGTGTGTGTGTATGCGTGGGTTGTTTGTGGAGCCGCCACCATGAGCCACCAGCCACCAGCCAGCAGCCAGGCGGAATTGGGGTAGGAAGCAGGCTCTCTCTTTCTCGCTCTCTCGCTCTAAAAGCAGGCAGCAGCTTTTGTGTGTGTATGTGTGTACCAACAACTAAGCCGCTCACAATAAAATGGTTTTTGTTTTTTGTTTTTGGCGGACAACCCCCTGAGAGCAGGCCCCATTTGCCGCTTTCCAGCGCAATGCTGCAGTTTCCCCCAAATGCAAATAAGAAAAATCAATATAAAGCTGGGAAACTAACATGCGGCGAAAGTAAGAGTCATCCTAACGCCAACAGCAAACATGGAAATATGTTATTAACCCAATTTGCATGTGCGAAAGCATCTCTCAAGCGGCAGAGAAGGAGGGAAAGAGCGAGAGAGAGCGAGCGTCGGGGCATGACTGGTTGGGTACTAGTTAATCAATCAAATGCCACCGAAATTCGACGAAAAATACAGGTAGTAATGCAATAAGCCGACTCTCAGATACCCGCCAGTCGGTCGAAAAGATACCCGCTAGTCAGTAAGGGGACTCTGGCAACGCCAAACACATGGATAGATGAACGAATTGATACCATATAATACCATATTGTATATCCTTAAGATCTCAGAGTTGAGACCTCCACCTGAATTCTGAATGTACTCTGCCTGGTGCCGGGCATAATCATCCAAAATGAGTCAGCCACTTACCAGCCAAATACGCAAGGCATTAATCCCAGCGCTTGGCCAGCTGTGTGAATCCAAATGTTTATATTTAAATGATTTGCTAAACTTTGGACACCCTCTGCATTGGCCGCAGCGGGGCCACCCAGTCGGGCATTCCGTTTTGGCCAAAAGTCAAGTGGTTTTGGTGGGTGGGTTGGAGGGGGGTTCTCTGCATGCGTCACGATTCCATTGCAACTAAAGTCTTATCCTTATCTTGGCAGCTACTTTGGCCGGCAGCAACAACAAGACCAGCGACCAGGCCATGTACGAGGAGAGATTTGCTCCCACGAAGTCTCTCCAGATAACGAGAGCAGTAAAATGATTGGAATTTTCATTCGACACACTTATGAATGATATCATAGTTGGTTCGTTGATTGTTTCGGTTGAATTCTAGAATTTATTTCGGGGAAATTGTGTGTGAAAAATGTGTCTATTTATATCTTTTGGCTGATCGATCAAAGGGGTTTTATCGCATGCGATATTTGCTTTTGGGGCGCCACTAAACGGTAGATAAAACCTGTCTTGCCATGAAAGATTGCACGATTGGCCCAAGATGGGGAAAAAAGACAAATGGGCCCAACTTTCCACAGGCTTCCACACGAGCCACAGGCGCTGTTCAACAGAGCATTAACGGTGGGATGTTAATTGGAACTGGAGCAGCTTTTCTGAGGTGCTGTCAAGTGGGAAAGCCACTACTATTAGTAATATGTATTTACTAGAGATGAGCTCATCCCTACCTATTGCTGGCCCAGAAATGTGCTCTCTCCGCTCTCTTCTGACACACTACACACGACGGAGGAGTCAAGTCAGTGACACTTACTTCAGATTAGAGGAAGGCAACCCATAAAGCACATAGAACCCATAGAAAGTCTTCTAAACCTTGAGATTTATCATACGATTCTGCAGAAACAGCTGAATATTCAAGAGATTTGTATGGAACTCATTCAGAATTATCGATATACTGGAAAACAGCTGATTTCCAAGTAATACCGATGTGGATTCGCCCCACAGTAAATGTCATACGGATATATGTATGCTTTCAACTGTGGAGTTCACTTATTTTAATTGTGGCATACATTTTGACCATTTCAGATATGTGTGTGTGCGCCACATAGATGCCACAGACATGACGCCATATTGCGTGCCAGCGGTGTGAGAGCGAGAGCGAGAGAGAGAGCGAGAACAGCTGACACTTGACACTGCCCGGCAGCCGCAAAAGCAAATTGCATTTACACATGTTTTACCGTTGGGGTGACGGACTCCCCCCTCCCCCCCCACATACACACATACGTGCATATGTAAATGTGTACTGCTTCTGTGGCAGTTAGTTTTTTCCAACAAAAAACAAATACCAAACATATTCTCAATTAGTTGAATCACTGGAAGACTCTTTCCAGCGCACTTTCCAGCTGTGTGCGAGTGTGGGTGTGGGCCGGGGGCTCTGTAATATCAGTATTTTGGAAATACCCAGCTCAAAAGATACCGGAAAGAGGCGGCCCTCGTAATCCCTTTTGCCTACAGTCGAACTTCTTTGAGTGGAGGGAAAAAGTGCCAGCTCTTGGTCTTTCACAGGGGAGGTGTCACTGTACTGCCCCCCGCCCACATGACACCGAATATGTTTGTTCCCTTGAACGAACCCCCGTGTGTGTGTGTGTGGTGTGTGTGTGTGTGTGTGTGTGTGTGTTTTGTTTGCTTTTGTTTGTTGCCTTTTCGTTTGTGTTTGTGTGAAAGTGAGTCTCGTGGATGGCTGTGTATGTGTATGCTTTCAGGCCCTACCCCCACACCGCACCCGTCCATTAGTTTTACTGTTTTTGTAGTGCCTTCTGTCTTATCAGCAGAGCCAGTGCCAGTGCCAGTCCCAGTGCCCGTACCAGTGCCCGTGCCCGTCTTGTCTGCCGTACTTTGTGGCCGTACTTTTCCATTCAACACTTAATGTGGAGCTGCAGCCGATTTAATTATTGAACTTATTGCTGCTTCGCTCTGCAACGAATTTGTTGCCCCATGCCACCGAATCTATTGGGGCTTTATTTTCAAATTCGTTCGCGGGGCAAACCGAATTACCCGAATGGCACACATGTGGCAAATTAATTTGAAATATTGTACGCCACTGCAGTCCCCACCAACCTCCGCCTCCTCCGCCTCCGTCTTAATTGTTTACAGATTAGAGAGGGGGGAGAGAGGGGGAGCTGGGTGTGGCCCCTCGAGTGTTGGGTGTGAACAATTAGCCAGCGTCGTCCGATGCCCGTGCCGCTTGGCAAAAGTGTCACGCAACCTGGGCACAGCTCACAGCTCTTGGCGGGAAGAGGGGGGGACACGGGGGGGACTCATCACGTTCCACTGGCCAGCGGACACCGATACCTAAACCGAAACCGAACTGTGATGCTAATCGCCATCAGGCGGATGAGCTATTTTTGGGCACGCTTTGTTTACGTTTGGCCCCTGGCATTCCGAGTGGGCGTAGATCCCCCCCATCCCCCCACTCTACCATTCTACTTCGCCTATACATAGTGCCCATCTTTAAAGGCGTCAAGGGGGGGTAGGGGAGTAGCTAAGGTCAAGCTAATGGCATGGGAACATTCTCCTCAGTCGCAGCAGCATGTCCCCAATTGGCGGCCCCACAGCATTATGCAACGGCGGCGGCGACCATCATTCATTCATTCATCAAACAGTTCATAAATCAATCAGGCCCAAACACACAACCAATTAAGCCAATCAAAATGAGATTCTCAATGTGCCTAAATTCAATAAATTCAACCATGTTTCAATGTTTCCATGTTTATGGCCATAAAATATGATTTATGAAGCAATCAGGCAGACCGAAAACTACAAAATGCAATACACTCCCCCCCCCCCCCACACGGCCCCCCCCCAAGCAATAACCTTCGACACCTCTGAATATTTTTTTTGCAATAAAAAGCACGAAAATCAATTTTCAATTTGCATGCAAAGCAACAACAACAACAACAAAATACAATATAATTTTCGAGTGTTTTTCGCGTGCAAAATTATGCAAATTAGACAAATCAACAGGGGAGCGGGGGGTAGCGGAGGGGATCTTGCTGCCTCTTGCAACAATAGGGGCAAAATGCCACTTAATACATTTTGCAAAGAAGAAGCCCCCAAGAGCGCCATTTCAAAAAGCCAAATGACGTGGCGCTTATTGATTATTTCTTACATATATTTCCCTTGAATATTATGCTGGATATTCTGCTGGAGGGACTGGAAAATGCCCCCCCGGGCATTAAGAGTGAAATCGTTTCTCATGTTGCAAGTTTCAAAATGTTGCAATATTTGCCACTTTCATGCTGATGCCTCATTCTTTATTCATTCGCGGTTTTATGGCTTACAAAATTTGTTTCCCTCTCATTCATTTCTGCGCTCTTTTGAGCCCTCCTTTATGCCTCTGAGCCCTAGGAGGCCTCACAGACCTAATGTATCCATAAATCACAGCAGAAATTAATTGATTTAACTTCTTTTAGTTAATCCCTCGCCCCCAACGTAGGCCAAGAACATTACTAAATCGAATAAGTCAGCCTTAACATGGCAATGTCCTCCAAATGATGTTTTGATGATCAATAAAATCAAAAATGAAATAAGCAACTCCCTACATTGGCTGCCTGGCAGCACGACAAAACTGATTGTTAAGTCAATTCGATGGCTTTTGGTCATTTACCTTTCGGCGCTGCGTGAGTCCCGCCCCTAAGGCCCCCCCCCCTGGCCCCTGCCCCCTCCTGCACCGCAGCGAATCGAGAGTAATGGTTTTCTGGC